GCGATTTCTTTTTTTGCACAGTATTTCACCTGCCTTTGAAAAAACCCGTTCACAGGGCACAGAGGATGCAGGTGAACATAAATATGTAATAGCAAGTTTATATAAATTTGGAAATGTAAACTTATGTTTGTCCCAATATTGAAGGGGACTTTCGAGTCGAGGAATATTTGGCTCCCCCAGGTATGTTTGGACCTCCACTGTAGCGTTGGCAGTTATGTTTGGGGTTTTGGTCTGCTGGCATGTCGTGTCAAAACGTTGCCACAGTTTGCTCCCTAAAACAGAATAAACAGGTTATGAGTGACTTATTAGCACAAATAGAGTATACATATTACCTTCAGCTACAGATGATGAAGGTGATGGATGATGGATGATGGATGATGATGAAGCAGAAGCGGACAATGGACGTCTCAAAACTCGAGCACATTCGTCAATCAATCTTTTTTCAGCTTCTGCTGCCTTATTGGGGTTGAAGAATCCAATCTTTTTAAATCTGGGATCAAGCAAGGTAGAGAGGGACATGATGCTCATTGATTGGAGGTGGCTGAGCTTGTCCCTCAGTTGGCTTCGCAAATACTCAGCCATGTCTCTGCTCTCAGGTGTTTGGATATGGCCGATCTCCTCTTCTTCCAGAGCATTATGGAGAATGGTCAAAAGTGGAACTACTTTTGACCCAGAGACACTTTTCTCCTCGGACACCTCAATTGTGGCATAGTAGAACGGAGCGAGCACCTTCAGACAGTCTGCAATGATGTTATATTGTTCTGCTGAGATTTGTGTAATGTCTGTACGAAGCCCAGCCAAAGCTGCTCCAACAGGCTCTCTCAGGTTGAACAGACGCTGAAGCATTAAGTATGTGCTGTTCCATCTTGTATCCACCTCTTGAATAAGTTTAAGCACGGAGAGACCCATTTGTGATTGGATCTGTGTAAGTCTCTCCTATAAAACAGTCAACATATTAAAACAGTGCAGGAGCAGAAATAATAATTGACATATTACAAGTAAGGACCTTACCTTTGCAGTAGTGCTGCTCTTAAAGTATCCTACTATCTTACGACAGTTTGTCCTGATGTCACACAACACAGGACTTTGGTTGAGAGCTTTTTTGATCATTAAGTTAAGCGTGTGTGCTACACAAATTGTATGACGCAGATGCAGCTCTCGAGCACAAGCTCCCATATTCGCAGCACCATCAGTCACCAGACATGTCACCTTTCCTGCTAAACCCCACTCTGACATAAGAGAGGTCATCACTCTCGCTAGATTTGCTGCTGTATGTGCCTCAGGGAAATGCTGCACCCCAAGGACAACAGTCTGCAGAGAAGTGCTCTCGTCAATAAAATGACCAGTCACTGCAAGATAGGCATCAGTGTTGATGGAGGTCCACATGTCTGCTGTTAAACTAACAGCATCAGTGTTGATGGAGGTCCACATGTCTGCTGTTAAACTAACAGCAGATGCAGAAGACACCACCACTTTGGCCTTGTCTTTGGCTTCCCTGTATCTCTTCTCCACCATGGCTTTCAAAGTCTGAAAAAAGTAAAGTCTTGAAATAGTGGATCTGAGGATAATAAATTGTTAATAGTTCACATAAATACCTGCCCCGTGGGAAGAACATAAGATGGTGCCAAAGCTTTCACAAGCTTTCGGAAGCCAGTTCCCTCCACAATGGAAAAGGGCTGGGAATCCTCAATCACCATATCCACCAACGCCTCAGTCAAGTCAACCATCTCAGCTGAAAGAAAATGCACATTAGGGTTAGAAATTTATCTAATGAACAAATACATTCAAATAAAATATATTTAGTGTAATTGTAGGACAATCATCAATTATTATCATGATATAAAATGGCCTACCCGAGACAGGTTCACCTGGGTTGGAATCCACAATGCTATGCAAGGCACGATAGTGCCTTAGCATAGCTGAGGTGTTATTATTATAACCCAGTTGTTTGGAGCATAACAGACACTTCACCTGCAATTGAAAAAACTATTATTCAAACGTATTTATAACAGAGAAAAGTGAGCAAGAGAAATTATGTGTTGTCATATTTGTGTAATCTATTATTACAGAATTATTGATATGCCTTACCTTATTAGGTGAGATCTGCTCAAAGTGCTCCCAAACTGGAGAAAATCTTCTCTTTCTTGCCGGTTCCATCGCAAAAAAGAAGCTCAAATAGGATGCCAAATAGGATGCCAAATGAGAAGCGCAATAACCCAAAAACACACAAAGTGATGAAGGGGAATCCATTGCGTTCACTCGTCCCTTTTATTTCCAACCGCGCTCCAAACCAACGAATCATTTCCTGAATCAGTCACGTGGTACGGCCGTTCGCGAGGCTTCGAACGTCATCACACACGTGACCAATACACGCCTCGACCCACACTTCAAAAGAAACGCCCCCAGATTACTCGGTCCACGCTTCGAAGACTCGGTCCGCTCAGCACATCACTAGTATTTAATACTACACTCTTCACTAAACTGAAAATACGGACAGACTTTGAATCCAGGGGGATTTTGTTCGAATATCAGGCGAATATCAAACGTTCGGCTAACTTTACCTCGGTGTCACAAAGCGCCACTGAGCACAACCATTCATTTAAATAGGGCGCCATCTTGGATCGCCGGGGCTTGGCGCCAATAGACAGTAGCGGTAGATGCGGCGTCTACTCTTTATATGTCTATGGTTCTGAAGGCACTGAGCTTCTGTCTGCTCTTCATAGTTACACATTTGTTTTAATTATCAACATTTCTTGTCCTCACAGATATTCGAGAATAAAAGACAACAATATAAACACGAAGTGAACGTTAAAGTTAACATTGAACAGACGGTAAAAGATGCTAGCGGCCTGTGGCTAATGCTAACGCTAACAGCACTAGCATAACACACACTCACCGATCGCACGGAGCAGGAGCAGCTGCGGTGGTAGAAGGAGCTCTACACGGGGATCATGCAGATGTTCCCTCTGCTCCAATCAGCTGCTGACTTTATGAAGCACAAAGATCAAAGATCGTTGTTAAGGACAGATGCTCTCACGTTGGTATCTTTAGCGTCTTGTCTGGGAATATTGTTGAACAGCTTGGCAGCACAGGGAGCATGAGCCATAGAGGAAGTTAGCGACAGAACAACATGACTACATCCTGTAGCGCCTTCAAAATAAGAGCTTCTGTTAGACAGGGAGTAAGAGCGATATAATATAATATTATTTAACACCCCACTCGCTGTTAGCTCACTGGGTAAAACAATACATGCATTTACATACATTTTTACATGCGAAACATTTTCTTTGGAAAAACTTTTAGCTTTTGTCAAAAGATCAGCTATCATTTTATCAGTAAGTAAGTAGTAAGTAATCTTTATTTATATACCGCCTTTTCACTGCACATCGGAGTCTCAAAGCGGTTTACAATTGTTATTTTTGGGAGTGGGGGTGCCAGTACAGGAGGCACATGCCAGACCTATTGTACATATTTTTAGTGGTAGGGGAAACCGGAGCACCCGGAGGAAACCTACGGAGACACGGGGAGAACATGCAAACTCCACTCAGAAAGGCCCTGGTCCAACCGGGATTTGAACCCAGGACCTCTTGCTGAGAGGCGAGAGTGCTATCCACTCAGCCACCGTGCCGCCCATCAGTAGGACAATATTCCAAAACCACCTTCCCTGTGGGTACAACACCTATCTCACAAGTGCAGTAGCTTTGTGAGTAGTGTGTGTGTGTGTGTGTGTGTGTGGGGGGAGCGCGCAAAGTGCTGTGGGTGTAGATGCAAACAGGAATGGAGTAAAGTGCGATCATTAAAGTGATTGTCTGGAGTTTGTCAGAAAGACAGAGAGGTACTTGATTTGAAAAAAACTACGCAAGCACCCTCCCCCTTCCTTTCTGATTGGTCTACACCTACGTTTCCGTAACACTTTGAAATGTTAATCAGAGAACATATTATACATATACATTATCAATACACATGCACGGAGGTTTCAGAATTATTTGTGAACGTTTTAATGAAAAAAAATATGTTTTTATGCACACAAAAAAGCGATCGCGGCAAACCAGGAAGTGCTATTATCATGAATTGCACATTATAGCACACATCTGCAGAGGATCTGATTATGGATATAGGTTCAGTATATACATAAGCACCTCAGCGTGGATGTTCAGAATTCTTTGTTCAGTTTTCATGTAGTTCCAGAGCCTAATAGAGGCTCCGCGAAAACAAACAACTGCGCATGCGCGCAGCTGCGAGCATCAGCGGCGATGATTGACAGCCCTTGGCATGACTCGATTGGTTAACCTCGACGGCACCGTGGATTCTGAACTATAGTTAAGAGCAGGGAAGGCGGGACTTGCCCGTAATATTAGAATTAATAAAATGACTTATTTTATATCAACATTTAAGGCCAGGAGGTCAATTTAACACATTTCCTAAAATTTGTAATTCATTTAGAGTTACAGACTATCACTTTAAAACCCATTTTTATGTGACGAGAGCTGCGGTGATAGTGTCTATACTGGCTCACGGTCTATGGAGGGAGAAGATTTGTTCGCCCCGCTGCCTGCTCCCGCGCAGTTTGCCCACACAAACCCTTTTGTTGGAGCCACAAGTCACACGGGAGGTTTTGTACATAGCACGCCAGCTTCGTACAACCCAGCTGCATGTACCCTCCCCTTCCAGAGTCTATATATTAATCCACCAAGGACTGTGACATATCAAAATCCCATACAGCCCCAACCAGATCACTCATCCCCACATAAGAGCCACTTCGGGTCCCGGAGGACCTCATCTTCAGAGAACGATGACGATTGTGACTTTAAAGAGAGGGTCCCCACTCTACTCCCTGGGCAGTATGATGGAAGTACACCATGGAGAGAGTTTATGCACAAATTTGACCACACTGGTCAGCTAAAACAATGGCGGTTCAGTTGAAATTCTGCTTGGTTGGAGCTGCAGGGGCCATCGTTCACCGGAATCCACGCTCATCGAAATGGGACTACCAGCGGCTACTACAGGAGCTGGAGAGCGCGTACGGCCCTTCCTCCGATCATGCGGCAGCGGTTGCAGTGGAACTGAGGCAGAGAATACGCCAGGCTGGTGAGGCGTTGCATGTTTTCCGGGACGATATTTAAGGAAAAGTGGCTGTGGCCTATGGTGACAGATCCGAGAGGGAGCAGGATGCTATTGCTGTTGAAGTTTTCACAAATGGTTTGGGCAATGCCGATATTATTCAAAAACTGCTGGAAACTCGCCCGTCCACACTGGCGAGAGCTTATGAAATAGCTCATCGCCATAAAACAACGAAGAGAGCTGCATCATACGTCACAAGCATCATGCAGCCTGGGCCCCGCACTGCTGTCGTACGGGAGACTGAGGCTGCTCCTGCTACACCACTGCCAGACCCCGCGCCAAACTGGTATGTTCCAACCACACCCTTAAAGACACAAAACCAGCATAAAAACTTTAAGAAGACTGACGTCCGCTGTCATAATTGCAATGGCTGGGGACACATACGCAATCAGTGCTCCTCCCCCCACAGAACAGCCAGGACTGCTAGACCACCCGCACCTAGCACTCCCCGTGAAAGCTCACAACCCACCATAATTCATCTCAAAGCCAATAATCGTGAAATGAGCATCCATTTACGCATATTCGAGCTGGACGTGTGTGCTGTTTTGGACACTGGGGCTCGTAGAAGCGTGCTGCCTTCATGCCATTACAATGCCATTCACAGAGGCATGAGGCCCCATCTGAGCTGATCTACAGTAGAGACTTTGATTGGAGTGGGACCTGGTGATGTTCCGGTGCTGGGTGAAACCAAAGTTCCAGTCAATATTCACAACCGTCAAGTCGAAGTTGACTTCCTGGTAGCGGACATTGCAGGGAAGGATGTACTGCTCGGTCACCCATTTCTCACGCAAGCTGAAGCCCGTCTCGATTTTGGTAAGCACCGCATTGTGCTTTTCGCTGAAGAAGTGCCCTATTTCCACCCAGAGACTGTGTCCAGATTGCATGCTGTGAGAATAGCCAGAACTCTTGTGATGGAGCCCGGACAGGAGTATTTGGTCAAAGGCACTGTGCACCTTGATGAAGCTATACAAGGAGACATGATGCTGAGCCCTACAAAAGGTTTTGTTGAGAAACACAAAGTGCTCATTGCTAGAGTCCTTGTCCATGCTCATCACACCAAAGTTATTCCACTGCGCCTCTTCAACCCGGGCAATAAACCTTTGACTGTTAAAGAAGGCGCCATTGCTGGTCTCCTTCATCCAGCAGAGACTGTTCCCTCATCCAAAGACCCCACAGACTCTCTGATCAGTTCCCCATCTGTTCCAGAGCACCTCCAAGAACTCTATGCCCAGAGTTCCGTTGACCTTAATGACACTGAAAAAGTCGAATTAACCAACCTGTTGTGTGCATATGAAAGTGTATTTTCCAGGGGACCCGGTGATCTGGGCCGGACCAGCCTCGTCCAGCATGACATCCTCACCCGGCCCGGTGCTCCAGTCAAGCAACCTCCTTGCCGGCTGGCCGTGTAAAAGCAGCAGGATGCAGACCGGCAGATCGGTGACACCCTCAAGACCGGCCTCGCTTCACGCAGCCATAGCAGCTGGGCATCACCCATCGTTATGGTGCGTAAGAAAGATGGAACTTACCGTGCATTGATTACAGGGCACTCAACGACCGCACCATCACCGATGCATACCCGCTGCCCTGGATCCAAGACACGTTGGACACACTTTCCTCTGCTAAGTGGTTCAGCACATTGGACCTTACCGTAGGCTATTGGCAAGTGGAGCTCACACCCAGAGCCCGCCGCGCAGCCGCCTTTTGCACACGAAACGGCCTGTTTGAATGGAACGTCATGCCATTCGGCCTGTGCAACGCAACAGCCACGTTCCAGCGTTTAATGGACCGCGTCCTGGCTGGTATACAGTGGGAGACCTGTCTGGTTTACTTCGACGACATAATCGTGCTGGCCAGGGACGTTCCAGAGATGCTGCAGCGGCTGGGCCAGGTGTTCCAGAGACTCCAACAAGCAAATCTAAAATTAAAGCCCTCCAAATGCAGCCTCTTCCACCGCCAGGTCACCTATTTGGGTCACGTTGTGTCCGAACACGGTGTGGCCACTGATCCAAACAAGGTCCACAAAGTCCAGGCATGGCCCGCTCCCACTTCTGTCCAAGATGTAAGGCGTTTCATTGGCCTCGCCTCCTACTACCGCAGGTTTGTGAAAGACTTTGACTCAATAGCCGAACCACTGCACAACCTGACCAAGAAAAACGCACGCTTCCAGTGGCATGCCGAGCACCAAGCTGCTTTCGACACACTTAAGCGGCTGTTGACCACTGCTCCGGTCTTGGGTTACCCGCTAGACCAGGGCGAGATGGTCCTCGACACAGATGCCAGTGATATGGGAATCAGCGCGGTCCTGTCACAAATCAGGATGGCGCGGAGCGTGTTTTAGCCTATGGCAGCCGCAAACTGGCCAAGGCTGAGCAAAACTATTGTGCCACCAGAAGGGAGCTGTTGGCCATTGTAGAGTTCACCTCTCATTTCCGATAGTACCTGCTCGGACGACCATTCAGAGTGCGTACCGACCACAGCGGCCTGCGCTGGCTGACGCGAATGAAGGAGCCAGAAGGTCAGCTAGCACGGTGGTTGGAAAAGCTGGCGGAATATGACTTTGAAATTGTTCATCGTCCAGGTCGTTTACACACTAACGCTGACAGTCTCTCCCGCAGGCCCTGTCGTGAGTCTTGCCCCTGTAAATTGCGGGATCCCTCCTCCCAGCCTAAAACCACGTCATCAAGCAATCCAGTGTGAGATGGACTCTGCTTCCAGATTAGAGTTTCGCTTTTCAGCCCGAGCCCGAGCAGGCCCAAGGCCCGACCTGAGTTCGGGCCGGGCTCGGGCCTCATTTGGCGCTCAGCTGTCGGGTTCGTGCCGGGCTCGGGCTTCTTTTTTTAAATATATGTTTCTTTTTTATTATTATTATAATTATTTTTAAATGATTTTTATACATAATGATTTGCATATATATATATATTAATAACAATGTCCGTTGATTGACAACAAGTTATTAAAAAAAGTAAATATATTAATGACACCGTAACCAGCGTGTCGTACAGCAGCAGCGAGCCGTGAACGCATCATCCCCGTGTCTCCTGCTGCATGCTGTGGTCAACAGCGAACAGGAACAATAGTAGAAATGGATCAAGTGGAGACAAAACAAATTCAAAAGTGGAGAGTAAACTTGCAATTGGAAGGTGAGTGCGTACAACGGGAAATCAGATGTGTCGGGTTCTGTCGGGCTCGGGCCTGTTATACAGCGTTCATTGGTCGGGCTTATACGGGCTCGGGATTAACATTAGCGGGCTCGGGCCGGGTCGGGCTTCATTTTTCAGGCCCGAACGAAACTCTATTCCAGATCCCTGTTGCAGAGTCCGGTGGGGGTGGAGACACGCCCCGTGACTGAAACAGCTGTGAGTTTGGTGGGGGTAAGCAAAGACACAGAGAGCAACACAGAGACGATCTATGTGACAAATACAAACAAGATCACATTGTTTCCGGGGGAACTGCGTGATGCCCAAGCTGCAGATTCAGATATTGCCCCAATCAGAGCTTGGTTGGAAGCCAGTCCTGAACGCCCTCCATATTCCATTATGTCCCCATACAGCCCAGCCACCAAAACATATTGGAGTCAATGGAAGAGACTTTATTTCAAAGACTGAGTACTGGTCAAACGTTTTTACTGTATGGACGACACCCAGTTTTATCCCCAAATAGTCCTGCCACGCAAACTGCAGCCCGATGTTTTGCGCCAGATGCACGAGGGGCCGGTTGGCGGACATTTCGGTGTTGAGTGCACTGTGGCCAGACTTCAAAGCCGATTCTACTGGTATCACATGAGAGAAGACGTGGCCCTCTGGTGCCGTACATGTACAGACTGTGCCTGTAGGGTCAAAAAGACACCGCGAGCTGCCATGGGAACTGTCAGAGTTGGTGCCCCCATGGAGCGCATTGCACTAGACATTATGGGCCCACTCAATGAAACCGATCGCAAAAACCGCTACATACTCGTGATACAGGAGTATTTCACAAAATGGACTGAAGCATTTCCAATCCCTGACGAAAAGGCTGTCACAATGGCCGAAGTTGTAGCAACTGAATGGGTGTGTCGCTATGGAATGCCTCACTCTCTGCACAGCGATCAAGGACGCAACTTTGAGTCAGAAGTGTTTCAGGAAATGTGCCTTTTGTTTGGGATTGAGAAAACCCACACTACATCCTTCAGACCGCAGTCAGACGGCCAAGTTGAACGTTTCAATGCCACACTCCAGAAGATCCTGGCCTCTACTGCGGAACGTTGCCGCTGGGATTGGGACTTAATGATCCCATATGCAGTCAAGGCCTACAGATCAACCAAGCACAGTTTGACAGGATTCACACCGAACTTTATGATGTTTGGATGCGAGATCAATGAACCCGTGGATCTTGTAGCTGGCTTGCCCCCTGACTCTGACCGTGCACTTTCAACCCCAGAGTATGTATAGCAAATGCGTGAGCGGCTGGAGCTTCCGAGGTCCAGCCTCCAGCCGTGTATGAGGACGCCGCTGACGGGGGCGCCGCTGACGGGGACGCCGCTGACGGGGGCGCCGCTGACGGGGGCGCCGCTGACGGGGACGCCGCAGACGGAGATACCGCTGCCTGGGGTGCTGTGGACCACTTCTGTCTGCATCCGATGCAGTTGGGTCCCTTCCATCCTCTCCTTCCCATGTCACCCGTGACCATGGTGGGTGGGGGTGCGAAGGGAGGGTCACACCCCCCGCGCCCTGTGGAACTGCACTCCAGACGTCAGCGCCAAGCTCCGGACCGGTATGGTGACTGGTTAACCAAGTAGACTATATTCTACGGCTGAAGTTGCACTAGAGACGTTGCAGTTTATATTTTGAAACAGTTGTCTTGTGTTCTGTGTATCTGTTAAATCCACCTTTTTCTATTTTTTGCAGTTTGAAAGAAAAAAAGAATGCTCAAGAGTCTGTATATTTCTATACCTGTACACTTTAGTCATGCTTAATCTGTATAAGTAACTTTCTATTTGTAATTATCAGTCAGTTTTATGTTGCTCCCGGTCGCCACAATAACTAAGAAGTGTATTGTTTACCTTTTTTATTAATCACTGATGTTCACATGTTGCCTTAAATAAGCTAATATGTCACTGAGTAGACATTTCTTGTATTGAAGCCTACCTGTTTAGTTACTGTATAATGGACACTGCTACCTCTTAGTTATTCTCAGGCCTGCTATTAGGGGAAATGTGTACCCGTTTTCTATTATGTTACTGGATTGGAATTGGTCATTGCCATCCAGGGTGGGGGTAGTGTTGTGAGATCAGAGTAGTGTGTGCGTGTGTGTGTGTGTGTGTGGGAGCGCGCCGGTAGACAGAGACAGAGTGAAAGCTAGGAAAGAGCGAGAGTGCGACCGGAGCAAGACAGGGAGCGTAGTTGTTTTTGGGAGAGATAATAAAGCCAACTCTTGAGCAACAGTCCGTGTCCCTATATCCGCACCACACTTAACAGCGAGGGTCAAACAAGAAGGGAATTACGCCCCGGAGGAAAGCACCCCTTCGGCCCTGGAGCTGCAAATCTCCCCTGCGCCCCTCGACATCAGTCTTGGGGCTTATAACAGGAAAGGCGTAACAGTACACTTTTGTTTTAACATATTTGTAACTGTCTAAATCTTGAAGTGGCTGTAAAGACACTCCTGTACAGCTGAAGCTAAAGAGATACAGTGCCTTGCGAAAGTATTCGGCCCCCTTGAACCTTTCAACATTTTGCCACATTTCAGTCTTCAAACATAAAGATATAAAATGTTAATTTTTTGTCATGAATCAACAACAAGTGGGACACAATCGTGAAGTGGAACGAAATTTATTGGATAATTTAAACTTTAAAAAAAAAAAAAAAAAACTGAAAAGTGGGGCGTGCAATATTATTCGGCCCCTTTACTTTCAGTGCAGCAAACTCACTCCAGAAGTTCAGTGAGGATCTTTGAATGATCCAATGTTGTCCTAAATGACTGATGATGATAAATAGAATGCACCTGTGTGTAATCAAGTCTCCGTATAAATGCACCTGCTCTTTGATAGTCTCAGGGTTCTGTTTAAAGCGCAGAGAGAACCATGAAGACAAAGAAACACACCAGGCAGGTCCGAGATACTGTTGGAGAAGTTTAAAGCCGGATTTGGATACAAAAAGATTTCCCAAGCTTTAAACATCTCAAGGAGCACTTGGGGGCGACAGTAGCTCAGTTGGTAGCCTTAAGGCCAGAAGGTTGTGGGTTCAATTCCCACCTCTGCACCTTCTCCATCGACTCCCACTGATGACTGCTGTTGTTGTGTCCTTGGGCAAGACACTTAAGCCCACTTTGCCCAAAGCCCCCACTGAAAGATCATGGCTATGCTCACACTCAGAGAGCAGCCGTCCTCCTGTGGACTCACCACCTGCAGAGGGTCAGTGAGGGGCTGGTGCTATGAGACTCGGGTGGCATCTCTTACTGCCACCCCCCTGACCCAGAAATGGATTAAAGGGTAGAAAATGGATGGATGGATGGATGGAAGGAGCACTGTGCAAGCAATTATATTGAAATGGAAGGAGTATCAGACCACTGCAAATCTACCAAGACCCGGCCGTCCCTCCAAACTTTCATCTCAAACAAGGAGAAGACTGATCAGAGATGCAGCCAAGAGGCCCATGATCGCTCTGGATGAACTGCAGATAACTACATTAAAATTAAATTAATTAAAATTTTATATCTTTATGTTTGAAGCGTGAAAGAAGCGTTCAGAAGAAACGTGGAGATTTCATAACACTTTGAAGCAACTATGGTTAAAGTTCTAGCTCTTCATTCTAACATATGCAGAAGCCAGTACTTTTCCACAGCACGTTTTGTCCATCTGAAGGCCAAGCTACTGCATCGCGGCGAAAGCTGATTGGACGGTGTTCATTCTAATGCTGTATAATACACTTGCTGTCTGTCGAGCTTGTGTTCCTGCTGGCTATAGCAAACAATAAAACATGTCTTCTGTCTGAATCAAAGACACGATCCAAGACGATCCAAGAAGAAATGTTCAAAGTAAATAACTGTATAAAGTCATTTATAAGCACAGGCTTTTCAGGACTCCAGTTATCCATTACTAGGTTTTTCCAGACACAAAAGAAACCTATATTTTGTTTGTTCCATAAAAAGTCTAAGTCATACTTCCCTTTTGCACTATTTTAAAGACACAGTGTGTATCACCGTGTATTTATAAAGCAATCAACATAAATGTTACCTTCACATGTGTTAAAATGCTACCTGGCGCCCGTGTTTACACAGTGAAGAAGATGACAAAGTCTGGGATCACGTCTTTCATTCAGACAGAAGACATGTTTTATTGTCGATAGTAGAGACAGCACGAACAAAGCACAACAGAATGCAAGTGTATTATACAGCATGGAGGAATGCAGTCCTCCAATCAGCAGCTTCCACGGTGCCATGTAGCTTGGCCTTCAGAAGTCAAAACAAGGGAAAAGTACTGGCTTCTACACATTGATAGAATGATGAGTTTAACTTTAACAAAAGTTGCTTAAAAGTGTTATGAAATCTCACAACAGTCAACAGAACCACGTGGACGACTTTGCTTGAAGTTTACAAGAGAAGTGCACAAGACGTACATATATATTCTAGAGAAATGTTTTTACATGCACAGACATTCAGGAGAACCGGACTGTGATCTATCTCCACAGATGACTCGTGACCTGGTGGGGATGGAGCCAAATGGGGGATGGAGCCAGATGGGGGATGGAGCCAAATGGGGGATGGAGCCAAATGCCTGCTGCATGAGTCACGTCGTGGCCAGACAGCTCTGTCCTCCTTGTTCTGAATGTGAAAAGGAAAAAGCTTTTTTTCTTCACCTTTTTAATAAATCACACAAAAAAGACTTTCTCCTGGATCCATTTTGTTAGTATTAGATAGCAATATGGCCTACGTGCAGGACTGTACAAGGACTCTGATTATTTTGACTATGATGTGACTGTCTCTGTGTGACACGTATGTCTTTCCATGTGTGACGTGACAATGACTATATAAACTGTGTACTGCCTTTATTCTGTCTGAGAGAAGGAAACAATGGAAACCACTGGAACTTGAGAGAAACTTAAATAAACTTCCAGAGTTTGGCGCAGCACGATCCGTCTCTGTCTGCTTCATCCCTGACAGATTTGGTGGAGAATGCGCGGCTCAGTGTGCGCCATTCTCTGGTTGTTTTGAGGGAGTTTCCTTTGTTTTCTTTTCCTCGGCATGAGAGAGCGGCATGCTGTGTCTGGGAGCGGGGATTCCAGCAGGCTGGAAGAGCTGTTCCTGGATGCTTCTTGTCGCTTCTTTCACTTGCGTTTAAATTGAATTTTCCGACGCGGAAAAGAGTTGGCAGACCTCTTGGACAGTCCTTGGAACCTGTTTGACAAGAATAAGGTAAGCAGACACCTTTTTATATGTAAAGTCTGTATAATTGGATACTAGCTAAATTTTGGTCTGTTTTTGAGGTCTGTCGAACTCTCTCTAAATTGTGTTCAGATAAAGTGAAGGATCAAAAAGTGTTGGCCATAAAGTGAAGGATCTTTAGTGAAACCATGGTGTAAAAATAAAAGCAATAAAAAGGGAAATGTGAAAAAGAGGCCTTTGTTACAAAAGCTTTGAAATTAACGCATTTCAGGCTGATAAATGACAAAAGTGCATAAGCAACAATATGTTACATTCAGTGATCACGGTTTAAATTACAGACAGAAAAAAGAAGTTTTTGTTTTTTAGTTTGTTTTTCGGCGTGAACAGAGTTCACCGGAGAATGCAGAGTTTTATCTACAGTTGAGCTTTAGCGGCTCGGGCTGTATCCAACAGTTGTTTTTTGTTTTTGTTTTTTAGAAAGAGATTTTGAGTTTGCTACCTCAATAAAATAGAAGCGTAAGGGAAATTAAAGAGTAAGAGTGCCTTTTGTTACTAGTGTGGAAAGTGATCACTTCTAGACTTGGATGACAAAAGTATAAACTACAACATCAGTTATATTAGCTTAAAAAAGTAATCTTGAAAGTTATTCTTCTTTCTGTTTTTGCATTTTTGCTAAAACACTACTTTCTGCCTGTGTGTGTGCGCGTCTGTGTGACAGGAACCCCCCCCGCCCTCGCTGCTGCTGCTGCTGCTCTGATTTAAAGGGGAGCTACTGCCTTTAGGATTTTAGCTTTTCATAGTTTTTATTCCGTTAAATTTGCGATGGAACATTGTGTTATGACACAGTTAAACGTTTATAAACATTTAGGGAATAGAAGTTTTGGATCATTATGTTTTTGAAACCCAAATGTTAGTGCTAAAGCTTTGGTTTTGTTTTTTTTTTGTTTTTTAAATCTGCTGCTTTTTTTTGAGTCCATTATTGTATCTCTGATATTTCATAACTGTTTGTGAGAATTTTTTCATGTATTTCCATTTTAGTTACAAAAGCCGTTTTTCAAACATTTAAATTAGAATCTGTGTTAAAAGTGATTATTGATCATAGACTTCGTCTAAAAAGAAAGAAGAAATTAGGATTAGCTGTAAAAGTATTATATTAAGTTGAACTTTCACCCAATTCACATTGCAAGCGGTGACTTTTTTGTTTTGACTATGCACCTGACCTTGTTCCTGTTGCTGCATCATTAGTAAGATAATAAGTAATCTTTATTTATATAGCGCATGTTGGAAAGCCAAGAGCGCTCCAAAATTGTTTAGACTTTAGAGAGAAAAACAAACTGATATCTGTTGTTTTTAATTTGACTATAAGGTTGTGTTCCAGGACCAAGGGCACACACTGTACAGGGGCCACTGGACTGAGGG